AGCTTAGCCTGTTGGCTTTAGCCCCAACGCTATATTGCCTTATATGTATTAGCTCGGTGCTAGCGCAACAAACAAGCTAAACCGAGGTCCTCCATCCATATTTTCAGCTGCAGACTGAGTCATTTTTGTGTTCCCCTCTCTGTCATGTGGATGGAGGACCTCAGTGACGAGAGGAGAATGTGTAGCGTGTGTGTCAGTAGGACCACTTGGAGGAGCCAGTCTCATATTCTACTGTCAGGACACACAGYAGTGACAGTTTTAACAAACGTGTAAAAAATTACATTTTTATAAAAGTTACCTACTGCAGCTTTAAGCACATTGGGTAACATTTCTGTTTGAAAAAGTGCTGCACTGAGCAGGGGCTGAGTTGCTGTGGAGAGAACAATGTGGCACCATAAAGGAACTAAAAAAAACAAAACAAATTCAAGCACACAATAAGGCCCTTGATGTAGTTCCACTCAGGAAGAGAATAATGCAGTCTGTTAAAGGTTTTTGAAGCTGTCCAGCCCTTGTTGCTCTGCAGGTCTGTGAATACTCGCCAAAACTGATAACCTGAGTCCAAAGTTACTGACTTCAAAAGCAAACAGACAAGCTCAAGGAGTCAACTCCAACTACAGAAACTAGTTTGCCCTTCTCCTTGACTTTCAGGATATTTTTTAACATTTTGTTCACAAGTTTGAAAAGAARGAAAAAAAGAAAAGAAACCAAACCGCCTCTTCTTCAAATACAGAGCTGACGGTGCGTTTCTCCCTATGCACTCTGTCCTTTGGGTGAATAAGTCAGTTACTTTAACCTTTGTAATGATTAACAAAAGCTGCCATGGCGACGAAGCCGACTGAAACACACCCTCGGAGTGAAAAAATACGAAAGAGCCTTACAAGGAGGAACGGAGTGCGTTTCTGAAATAGTGACGCAAATCTGTGGTTTTAACTGTTTTAAACAGGTTTTGGAGATTTTTATACCTAATAAAACAATTTGCTTTTATTCGTCTATAAATACAGTAACATGAATTTAACTTGTCTCATAAGTCAACGGTTTCAAGAACGACCAAATGTTTAAAGAAATAAAGGGTGTGCACGTCTACAAAGCTGCAGAGTGGACAAATGAGTGTGTTTTATATGCAACTGTTAAGAGAACAAAGCGCTGTCTGCACAGCTGTCAATAATCTATCAGATTATCATTTACTGTTGCAGAGGTTTTACACTCGCTTACAGGATTACACAGCCTGAACTCTGAACGTGTCGCTGACCTAAAAACAGAGCTTATTAACCATTTAAAAAAGACTATAATACAAGTTTATTCTTTTTTTAAGCTATTTCATCAATTTACAGATAATGAGACTTATAAAGCAACGTACAGTTTTGGATCTGTGGCTAAATATTCAACATTTCATTAGAAAAGATATGACTATAATATTAACAATAATAACAATAATAATAATAATGTATCAAAAAATATTGAATTGATGTTGTTTTGTTTTAAATGAATAAACTTTTATAAATAAATAAACAGACATTCTTTGAAACGCTGTATCGTCTATTTGCACACTGTGTCTTGTACTGTGTTTACTGCTCCTAAACATAACTACTCTGTGGTTGCTATCTATCACTGGGTTTTATGTTGCACCTGCAGGTCCAGTAGGAACATTATAGTTGAACGTGAACAGCGGGCAGATATTACACGTCTATACTTCTTTCTGCTCCTTTTCATTCATTTTTTTTAGTTGTTATACGAGTTATTCATATTTGTTGAGTGAATGGATTAAGGAAAACACTATTTACATATTTATGCCCTCCACATACAACATTAGGGCTGACAAGAGGTGACCTGTTGCACAAAGATTACCTTCTTTGGGTGATGAAATTACCAAAGTTTTGTCTTTTAAAGCAAGTTAGGCAACTCGACAAGGGGTGGATCTGTAGTTAGGGGGGTTGCTCCTCTCCGATAGAAGGTTCACATAACACCTTGCCTTTTAATGCACAATATACACTACTCAAA